CCCCCCCCCCCCCAATTTAGGCAGAATGGAGGAAAGCAGAAAAGGTAGGCTGAACATTTTTAATGCAATTAATCTAAGTCACTAATACATCTCATGTTTTCAACATGTCTTCTTCTGATCTACTTCCCTGGCTGGCTCCTCACTAGCTGCACAACACACCATAAAGAAGGATCTCACATGGGTAGTCACTCCTGTGTCCCTCTAACTTCTAACCCCTGCTTACGCTGATTCAAAACACAACTAATAAGTGAGTAACAGGCAGGAACCCTATTACATTCAGTGAAAAGTAGTAAATTACAGCCCTGTCCATTATAAGTAAAAAAGTAATGCTATTTCATCTTATTACTACAAAAAGCAATTAGCTATCAATTTATTTGTTGGAAGAAGCCCATCACTGCTAAGCTCTGCAAGTGGGTTGTGACTTTATTCTACACAATGAAAAGCAATGATAGACAACCTGGCGCCTTCCATATATTTTGGACTATATATCCCCATAATTTGGTGATTGACCTTGCTGGTTTCATCTAACGGAGTTGCAATCTGACAGACAAGATATCAAAGGCATTACACTGCCTACATCTGTGCTAAAGGAACCAAACCATGTAATTTTATTATGGTTGATCATGCCATTTTCAAAAAGTTTAACTTCAGGACTCTGATGGCATAGTATTTGGTGGAGACCAAGAAAAATGCAATACTTGAAACAGACATACCATTTCATCAGAAACATGAGCTCTCCACTGGAATCTGTAGCACCGATAATCCGCTCTGGCTCAAACCCTCTTGCAAAGCCCCGAGGCTTTTCAGTCTTTAGAAAGAAACAGGAATATGGTTGCTTTTACAATAAGTCTGAAAACTGTTCCCCTGCAGATGCTATTGGACCATAACTCCCAGCATCCCTCACCATTGGTTATTCTGCCTAGGGCTGCTGGAAGGTGTAGTCTCAACATCTGAAATGCTGCAGAATTCCCACTCCTGTTTTACAACGTGATGTAGAAAAGTTCAAGCACAGACCATGATGTAGTGCCATTTGCTAAAGCAGAATAAACTCAACCCACAGTTCGGCTGCCCAAGTATAAATTAAAAAAAAAAAAAGGGGGGGAGTGTGATACCTACTTTATGTGTGTTTACACGGTGAAATGTGAATGAGTTTCAAAACTACTTGGTTGTCACAATTTGTAAATAGGAATCTCATGAATTCTAGCTCTGTGCAAAGCTCCAGCAAAATTTTCAGCCTCCTCACAAAACTACAATTTCTGGACTAACAACAGCAAAGGGAGAATTAACAAAACCATGAGACAAAAGGTAGGATAGAAGCAGCAAGGAAAAGCCAGTGTGAACATCTAAAGAACTTTGTATGCCAAATGTTGTGAACTATTTGGCTGTTTCTAAACAATCCCAAATTATTAAATTGTGAGAAGTAGAAGTAACAGAACAGAAAAAAACCCCTCTACGTTCAAAAAGGTATGCAAGACAAGATTTTATAAAAAGCAATAAACACAATCAGCAATCCCTCCTACCCCCTTTTAAAAGGCAATTGCACAAAGAATCTTTTAATTACAGCCTTCTGCTTCCAGCACCAATGTAGTCTGTGCACAGACCCAAAGTATTGTCGGTATCCAAAAATTGGATAAATCACATGCAACTCCCATCTTCTTAGAGAACAGTTAGGATGAAGACACAAATTCTGGTAGGAAACCAATTCAAGTGGTACCACAAAGTGGCACCTGCTGTATTCCCAAAAGACATCACTAAAGTAGTACACATGGTTCACATTTATCCAGTTTGAACAGCACATTTTAAATTTTTCAATTTATTATATTTGATTTTAATCTTTTTATTTTGTCAACTGGACAAAATAAAAGAACTTCAGCTGGCTGAAAGTACTGAAATGCAATGAATAATAGCAATGAAAAGCTTCATTGCTAGGCACAACTGTTCCCATCAGTTCAGCAACTGAGTTCTTCTCCCTCTTCTTTAATTGTAAGGTATAAGCAGCTTCACTGGGCCATAGAATGATTCTTACTTACCTCTTCTCGCTTTTTCTTTGGTCTGCTTTCCTCCCCTCTATCTTCAGAGTCTGATTCAGCCTTGCGTTTGCTTCCCTCTGACTTGTCACTCTCATGTGCCGTTTTCTGGGATTGCAGGAACTCCGCAATGAGGTCAGGGCAATCAAGGTTTTCCTCTGGCTCCCATGTGTTATCTTCACTGCAACCATGTAACATTAGGTGGATAAGACTATAACGCCCAGATTTTGTTAACTAGTTTTATGCTTATCATTTAACACTATCAGAAAAAGAGGGTCTGTCTAATTAACTTGGAAATTCCTTATGCAAGTCAACAGCAATGAAGCAAGAGAGAGAGAGTAGTAAATCTACAGACCTCAAACCCAAATTTAACTTCTACTAGAATCCTGACACAAACTGCTGCAATCTCTGGGGAAACTTCTGGAAGTGCAGAAGTAGATCATCATTGCACCTGCCCAAAGTTGCAAAATTAGAAACTGACAGAATACAACACTATCAAGACAGAAGGGGGTAAACGGGTTCAGGCCAAACTACCAGGATTTCAGCTGCTATTCTTGACTTTAAACTTGGTCTCATGAGATGGACCTAGATAGAAACTAGCTGGAAACAGTAAAAATATGGAAGAGGAAACACAGAAGCCTTCTGTATTTTTACTAATGCCTGTACAAGTATGCTGCTTTTCAGCTTTAGCACTCAACAGACAGACAAAGGCTTTTGGACAAGACTTTCCTCTACACCTTCTAGAGCAGGGATAGGCAACCTAAGGCCCGGGGGCCGGATGCAGCCCTCCAAGGCCTTTGGACTGGCCCCAGGCCAGTCCTGCCACCGCTGCCGCCACCTGCCATGATGATATTGATTATTGTTGTTATTACTTGTTCTTGGGGTTTTCTTGGCAAAATCTCCACAGGGGTTTTGCCATGGCTTTTTTGGGGCTGAGAGAGTGTGCATGCTTATTCTTTTAATTTTTTAATTTTTTGTCTGAGGGATAGCAATCCGGCCCCCGGCTCAAAAAGGTTGCCTACCCTGTTCTAGAGTAACTAGACTTGGAATGCACAGGTTTTGCACATGCAGCCTTGAGGACAGAAGTGAAGAATGGCTATTGGGCCACACTGTCCTTTTCAGGTTGACTAAAGCATTACATGTAAGAGATACAAGCACCTACACATATAGAATCATTCTCTAGCACAGTGATGGGCAACCTTTTGAGCTTGGTGTGTCAAACTTCACCAAAAAACTGAGCATAACTCAGACAGCATGTCACTTTGAGGAAAAAACATTATTTTGCAGCTGGGAGGAGGAGGGACGGGCCTAAATACATCGGCCTGGGCCCAGGCCTCTTCTCGGCCCCACACTGGTGGTGCTACTGCACCCGAAGTTCCAGAACTAGACGCTCTGTGCTGTACTTCTGTTGTTTTGGCCTACAGACCTCCGGCACAGAGTGTCTAATATAGGAGGATGAAACTTTGCGACTAGAGTCCTAGAGTTAGAGTCTAACTCTAGGACTCTAGTCGCAAATGTTTCATCCTCAGGAGCAGCAAATGTTTCATCCTTGGCTACTGCACTTGGCCATGCAGGAGCTGAGGATGAAACAATCTTCTCAGCATGCGGCCGCCTTAGCAGCCGCATGTCATCAAAAATGGCTACATGTGTCACTGCTGACACGTGTGTCATAGGTTCACCATCACTGCTCTAGCAGCAGCTAGTCTGCGTCCCAAGCAGACACTCCAAGACAAAGTAATTCTTTAAGAATATACCCATTTCTTTAACACTACCCAACTCTTGTAAGAACACACCTTGAACAATGTACTACTAGTCCCTAAAGCCCTATATTAGTCTTGAAAAAGTCAATGAATTGCACTGAGGCCATAGCATCAAACTTAAATGGGAAGAAATGGGGTTGGGGTTTTATTTTTTAAAGATTAATGTATTCCTCAACACAGAAACAACATCATGGGATAGGAAACTCCTCTCCACAAAGTAAGTTTTCAAATGGCCATAACAGTGGTAAAGAATTGTTCTGGGGTGAAAATACAAGCAAGATTTGGTAAAAATGAAGAAGAGCTAGGTCTTTCTTTCAATACGTGTGCTGGAAGTGATTTTACATACATTTACATAGGAGCAAACAAACTGCTAACTTTATAGGCTACGAAGCTATAGAAACTAGTTTGCAAAACTGAAAATGTGAATGCAGCCTTACTCTGAAAAGCCCTTCCATTTCAGCAGGTACTCCACTTTGCCTTTCACTACCCGCCTGTCAAGGACCTTCTCCACCACATACTCCTCCTCTTCTTCTTCCAGGACCTCTTCCACTTTCTTCTTGTTTTGTTTTTTTCCCATTGTGCTCGCCAGTTTTGCGGTTTAAAGGAGGCTGTTAGAGACAAGCAAATTGACATAAAGGATGGAAAATGCAGATTATAAATCTTAGAAACTCTAACTACTAGTATTAGACAGAGATCTCTCTCCAG